TTCTCAGATGCAATGCAAAAACAAACTTCATATGATGCCAGAGGAGAAAATTCTGGTATCAAGTTGACATGAGTGCACTCTTACCAGTCTGTGGACCAGATAGTCTGACACCTTATCCTGTCTGGTCTGTCTGTGTCATGACATCATGGGACTTGACCAGAACAAGTGCTTCTGACCAGCAAGTAGACAATAACATTAATGGTGGAGGGTGAACTTTGAAAGGAAAGTTTAAAAATTTCCTGGAAAAAGTAAACAAGTGATTCATCAGCATCTCTGTGCATTCTTCCATGGAAATTTTTTTGTGGCAAAATTCATGTCATCTCAGTTCTTTCAGTTTTTACTTTGATCAGCATAGGTTTACACTACACAGCATAGATTCATAATTTATTAGGAAAGCTCAACAGAATGAATTCAGGTTTACGCATGCTGGGCTTCCTTGTCCTCATAGGATTTGCCATACATTCCATAATGCCACATGTGAAAGAACACAGCCTGTTTTATGTATTTAACAGCTCTCTCTCTAACAGTGTCTTCCAAAGAGGTATAAAAAATATTTCTAGTCAGAAAAAAAATTCAGAAATTAACAGTATCCATGGATTAAAAATCACGAGAAACACTGCAACACAGACTCACCCAGCATTTTAAATATATCTAGTCTTATCCACTTTTTATTTATTTATTTATTTTGAGAAGAATGGTGTAAAAAAGGACAATATATTTGAAACGGGGAAAAATGAACTTTATGATATGACTGGGCAAACTCAGTTGTGCTTCAGAGTCGAAGGTCATTCTTTTGACTTCAGAAGTGGTTTCTCTGGGATTGGTCTGTGTGAGAACAGAGTTTGTCTGCTGTATCTCCTGACAACTTGGTACTACGCTGTTTATTTGCTTGTGGTAAGCAAGCAGACTCTGTCATACTCTATTTTCTTTTTCCCCTAGAAAGGCAGCAGCTACTAATGTGTCAATAAATATTACATTAAGAAATGTTCTCTTCATATAAAGTCAGGAGAGAGACAGAAGTATATACTGAAAGTCCTTTGGGGGAGTGCAATTTAATGGCCCACTGGTGCAAAGTAGTGCTTACCCACCCATCCCAGTATTCTTGGCAAAGACATTTGGCAGCAGTGCTGCTGAACTCATAGGAGCCGTGATAACTTAGCTCAGATGAGATCTGCCCCAAGAGACTCACTAGGTCAGAATTGTCCTCCAGGCTGCGGCTCTTAACTCCGTAAAGGACTTGAACAAATAATTCCGTTTCTTTTGCCTCAGTTTCTGAAAATGTAAATAGTTATGGTGACATTCATCAGCCTCACAATTTGTCGGGTATAGTTAAACCTGCTGGAGAATAATATAGTATTAAACAGCTATATAGATATGTGATGGAAACGCAAAGGTGGGGTGAGACTTCTGGTGAATAATGAACTGTTGGAAAGACCAAAACAAAGCAAGACAGTAGTCCAGATAAAGAAGAGTATCACAAACTGAGCTCACAGTTGTGAAGAATCAGCTTTATCTCTGCCTACATGACACAACTACTTTGCCAAGTGTCTGAGCCTGGAAATTCGAAGGAGGTTTGCAAAATAAGTCTTGTCTTTCCCAGGTAAGAATAAGTTCTTTCTTCAGTCGATTTTAAGAAATTTTGTCAAGTTAGGTGAAGTGTTATGTAACTTCCATTTCATTTCTGTTGTACTACCCTTATTTTTTTGTGACAGAAATGCATTTTAGATTAATATTTAATGCCCTTGCTTTTAAGAAAGTATCTTTGAATCACTTCAGTCTGATACCGACTTCAGGTTCCTGGGAGAGGAGGAGCTGCATGAGCTGAACACTAGTGTACTGTCAGATACCATGACTGTAAAGAGAAGGTGCAGCTCAGGAATACCTCCTGAATGGGGCACAACCACACATTTTCCCTTAGAAATGGGCAGAAGATACAACAACCTGTCACCTGAGAGCAGTGGTAGAGAGACTGCTGAGGATCATGCGTTGTCAATTGTGTCTGAGAGGGAGAGAGGGGAAAACAGCACAGGCACAGTGTACCTCTGAACAGAGGCAGAGCCCTTTGAGTCTTCAGATGAGTTGTAATACACAGCAAGATTTTTGCTACAGTTAAAACTTTTTCTCATTCTTAATCTTTTTTTTTTTTTTAGCAGTGAAGCAGTTCAAATATTCATTCAGCATATTGTACTTTAAAAATATAATTCACAAAGATCAGCAGGCATGTATTTATTCTGTCGCTCCTGATATTACTCATCACACCAGAACAACTTGTATTTTTTAAGCGTGTTCTTTCTTCTATCAGATCTTGTTTCTTTTCAGAGGTTGAAGTGTGAAGCTCAGTGGCTGATTCACCTTTTGTAGAACTGATGCAAAGATTTTTGTTCCTAGTCTGTTTCAGTAAATGTTGTCTGTTTTGTCCTGTAGGTGGGTCTTCATGTAGTATGCTTGGTTTTGAAAGTCTGGTTAGTAGGGGAAGCAAACGTATTTTAATCTGAACATTAAATGGTGATAGATTGTAAAAACAAGCAAACAAGTCTCCCCCACCCCTCCCCACCCCTCCCAGATAAGCTTGATAAATTTTTCCTGACTTGAAAAGGAGCAAATTATTTCATTGCAAATCATCCTGTTCACATTGGTAAAGTTTTGTCCTATGAGTTCTCTTTGGTCTGTTTTCCTGGTTTCTAAACTGGAAGATGTCACAGTTTCTCTGAGCAGTAGAAGCATGAACTCTCCAAAAGATTAATGAACTTCTCTGCCTGAAGTTGATATGTTTTACCAATGTCCATTCACATCTCTGCACTCTCCATATAGTACCAGCTTCTGTAGTCTTCCAGGTGACCTGCATTTTGTTCAGAAAGTTGAACATGATACAGGCCGATTTAAGGGAAAATATCTTTGTTTAAACACCATCCTTTGGCATTCAGCCCAGAGCTGTGCTTGTAACTGTGTAGACATTAAAACATTTTAATTTAATACTGTAGCATCTCAGTATATATAAAAATATATATACAAAACTGCTTGATTACTGGGTCGTACTATTATTACAAAAACAGGAATATGCCAGATAAGCCAGTAGGTGAAAAAGAGAACTTCTGTTTTATCAGTGAGTGATTTTGTATAGCTCGATTGGAACCTCAAAGACTGAATCATTTTTCGGTCTGTATCTGCAATGAATCATAGAATCATTTAGGCTGAAAAAGACCTTTAAGATCATTGAGTCCAACTGTAAACTTAACACTGCCAAGTCACACAAAACCATGCCCCTAAGTGCCACGTCTACACATCTTTTAAATATCCCCAGGGATGGTGGCTCAATCCCTTCCCTGGGCAGCCTGTTCAGTGCTTGACAACCGTTTTGGTGAATAGATTTTTCCTAATATCCTATCTAAACCTCCCATGGAGCAACTTGAGGCTGTTTCTTCTCATCCTATCACTTGATACTTGGGAGAAGAGACCGACATTCGCAGCTCTCTGCACCCTCCTTTCAGGTAGCTGTAGAGGGCGATGAGGTCTCCCCTCAGCCTCCTCTTCTCCAGACTAAATACCCGCAGTTCCCTCAGCCGCTCCTCCTACGACCTGTGCTCCAGACCCTGCACCAGCTTCGTTGGTTTTCTTTGGACATGCTCCAGCACCTTCTTGTAGTGAGGGGCACAAAACTGAACACAGTATTTGAAGTGTGGCCTCAGCAGTGCTGAGTACAGAGGGACGATCACTTCTCTATTCCTGCTGGCCTCAGTATTTATGATGCAAGGATGCTGTTGTCCTCTTTGGCCGCCTGGACACACTGCCTGTTCATATTCACCTGACTGTTGACCAACACCCCCCAGGTTCTTTTCCACCAGGCAGCTTTCCAGCCACTGTTCCCTGGGCCTGTAGCTTTGCATGGGGTTGTTGTGACCCAACTGCAGGACCCAGCACTGAGCCTTGTTGAAGCTTCTCTTAGATTCATGAAATACCATAGATTGGTTGTACTTATATATCTTGAAGTTAGTAGATAAAGCATGATTATCTAATACATTTAAGTGTGTTTTGTTTAACCATTTCCTACCCCCAAGCCTCCCCAGTGCAAAGAGACCCAAGAACTTTTTCATCATAAACTCTGATTCTAAAATTAAGGTTTCACCTTTCACTGCAGTTTTGAAAACACTCTCTAATTGTCTCTGTTTTACTGTCTTAGGCAAAATATTACTAGAGGTAGTAAAATGACCAGCTTAAGTGCATGGCTTGCTTTGCACCTTAGCCAACAACACACATGCAGAAACTTTTTGATAGAGATGTCTGTATAACCTGAAACTAAAGCATTGTACTCCTTGGATATTAGTTATGAATCCATCTAGATTCTTAAAATTAGGTCCAAAATTAGGCCACCTTTGGAATGAATAAGAGTTCTGTTCCTGCATCACTTATAGGTCTTCCTCAATCATAGTAGAACAAGCTTTCCATGATTTATTTATCATCCTTGTCTTTATGTTTGTGCAGACTTCCTCCTTTTCCTTTCATCTTTGCTTTTCCCAATTTTGTTGATACAACATCATTACAGAGACTACAGTAGCTGCTCACATTCCCAGTAATCAAATGTAAAAGGAGGGACTCCTAAAAACTTTATTATTTTAGATGCTTTTTTTGGTTTGCTGTAGTCTTGTGGTTTTTTCCTCTAGCATGATATGTTATACTCCAAAGCAGATGATGTTTCTCCAGCAGAGGAGAAACCCTTGCCAAGGCAAACCTTGCTGAACCTTGAGAAATCTTGATGAGGCAACACACTTCACTAACTTTTGGCTGCTTTTACAGAGGTTCAGGTTTGGCATTGTACAGTTCTGTTGCCACTGAAAAAATAATGTGAGGAGTCAAAACAGTGTAACGTAGCAGCTTTGCAGGGCTACCAGCATACCTTTGCTGGCACATAGCCTGCATAAACCACAACTTAATTACATTGGATAGTATATATAATGCCGGTGTTCGTTCCCTAATTTTATGATTATACCTTTGGCCTGTTTCAGATAAGAAGACAAGGCGGAATACAATTACTGGTGGACCTATTGGACCATCGGATGACAGAAGTCCACCGTAGTGCCTGTGGAGCTTTGAGAAACTTGGTATATGGAAAGGCAAATGATGACAACAAAATTGCTCTGAAAAACTGTGGTGGTATCCCAGCATTAGTACGGTTACTCCGCAAGACTACAGATTTGGAAATCAGAGAACTGGTCACAGGTTTGAATCTTTCAATATTTTTTTTTCACTCTTTATATAGGCCCTGCAAGCACAGGTCTGTGCTGTGTGCCACTTGCTCCATCAGTAACTTTTTCTTTTATTATCATCTTTGCTGTTACAAAACACTTTTGAGACCTTTGGATATATGTAATGTATAAATAGCTTCATTCAGTATCATGCAGACAGAGGTAGGCATAGTTTACATTTACAGTTGCTGGTCACTTTTTTCTTGGTTAGCTGTGAATGCTCTTGAGTGAGATGTGCTCCATACACAGATATATTGTGGTAGGAATCCTCTGCTCTCCTTCCTGTCTGGTGTAGGGCTGCACATGCAGAAGTTGGGTTTACGGAATTTTTTTAGAAGCTGTAACTCATTTCTATTATATCCTACATAAGTGAGAAGGAGGATTGGGAGGGTTTTACTTTTCTTGTGGTACTGATAAGAAAACGAAAAAGCATGTTGGAGATACAGACAACATCGTCTTCTGAAGCCTTTTGTCTGAAATTTGATAGCATGCTATGTGATGTATGTTAGGCACCGGGTGTGCTAGTGGCAGAATCTATTTCTTTTCTTGACATAGTAGAATCTGATCTTTTTAAAGATTGTTTGGATTTTATCCCGTATAAAATTCAAGGAAGAGGGTGTCAGAAATACAAAAAATGCTGTCAAACAGCATTCATCTGAAATGTTTGGGAGATTTTTTTTCCCCTTGCCCCTAAGCTATCCTATTTAAAATGCAAACCAGAAGCTAGATGATGGGGGTTTTTTTTATTTTTCACTTTGTGATTTCATTCTATTTGATTGCTAATATCAATGTAGTGGTTAATTTAATGCTACAAATAAAAAAATCTTAAGATCTTTTCATTATCCTATTTTATAATGTCTGTATTTCCATTATGATTTTCTTACTAAAGTATGTAAGAAAATTTCTCATTTCTGTCATAGAAGCATCAGAGTACACACTGTCATCTATGCTTCTGCAGAAATTACTTACCCTTGTGGTCAGGCCTCATTTAGGATACAGTTGATAAGATTGTTGTCCTTTGGTCGACTCCAGGTTTCGTCAGGGTGTCTGAATAAACTTGATGGTGTTTACTAAATGTACATTTTTATATTTGATTTTGTTTCTTGGTTACAACACCTATCACCTTGTACTTGTTAGGCAGGATTAATAGGGTAAAGATAGTGAGTTACATGAGCTTGGATGGTGCCTCCTGCAGAGTGACAGATTTACTGACAGATCTAATAAAGTATAACCACTGCTTTGGATTCAACATACTTGTTTGTCTCTTGGTTATGTTGTCTGTGTCCTGGCTCCAGGGAACATTCTGCCTATTTATTCTGAGTAGTAAGTGGCAAACTGCTAATGAACATCAGCAGTACACCTCAGCAGTCACAGTGGCACTTCCCATGCTATCTGTAGACAGAGCACATAATGTCATTAGGTCATTTAAAGAAAAGATACTAAGCTACAATTTATATTCCTTCCATTCCACAGTATGTTGTTAAATTTTCCTGAATTCCCACAGAAAGAAAAGATGTATATGATAGCATGCCCTCAAACTGTTACTACTGAGCAGGGTAGGTACTGACCATCAATTGTAGGCAGTAACCAGCCCTTGTGCAGGGAGATGCAGCTCCCAGGGATGGTGAGCATCTGGAGTGCTGGACATCTATAAAAGGGGAGCAGAGCAAGATGGTGACCCTGAGAAATGGAATCCAAGTCAGTGGTGTTTGAAGGTTTTATTACTGGACCTGGATTTGTTGTTCGTTTTTTTGTTTTGTTTTAATAACCAGTTCATCCCAGAAGGCCACTCCTTTCCTTGGCCAGGTTTTGTGCCTTTCAGAATGCATATCACTGGCCCTTGCTTTGAAAATGCAAACCTGATAGTGGTAGTGTTCTGCAAAGCTCTTTTCCAAAGCAAGGCTCATATTGCATCTCTTAAGAAACAGGATGGAATAGCACATCTGAATCAGTTCTCATTTGCTTTTTTGTGAAGTGTTGTAGTGTGACAGTTACCCCCGTTAAAAGTCCTTCCCTCTGTCCTTTTTAGGGAAGGAAAGATAGCTTCTGCAGCAGCTGCCTCAGTAATGAAAAAATTTGGCCTGGTGGTGGGCACAAGAGAAAGTAAAAGAAGCTCCTTCTGCTTCCCACCTAAGTCGAGGTGACAGGAAGAGAAGTATTTCAGTAGTGCCACCATAGCCGGAGGGAAATAGAGAGAAAATAATAGCAAATGTGTGTTTTAGAAATAAACATAATACCTGCATCCTTTCCATCTCATGTTCATTGTGCATCCTGTCTACATAAAAGCTGTTTGTTACTTTTAGAGAGGGCACAAAGTTCCTGCCTTAGGAATTCATCTAAGCTCTGTCATTGTCACCCCTAAATACTCCTCCAGCATTTGTCCCCAGAGTGCTTCTCTTAGGTGTGGAAGTGTCATTATCTCAGTTGTACAGATGGGGAACTGAGCCTATCGACTCTAAATGACCTGTCCAGAAATCTGGCAAGATGAAGGTGTGAATCACTCTGAGTAGGCACTTAGCTGTGAGGGAAGAAATAGGGGCCCAAGAGGTTTTTAGCAGCTCAGTCTGTTTGAACAGTAGCAAAGCTTTCATCGTCTGCCCCAAGTACCGTGAAGCACACTCCCGCCAGAGCCAGTTATAATATTGGTTCCTTCTTCAGACATGCACATTTTCTTCCTTCTTATTGCTTCTATCTAAGGAGATTATAATTTCAATTTCCAGCTATCTCAAGACTGGTTTTGGAAGGGTATTTAAACCTGCAGACCAGCTTTCTATCCCAGTAGCTCCTTGCTTGTCAGGATTGCCTTCGGCGCCATTTGTGACTTTTCCTCTTTTCCAGAGATTTCTTTCTGCCATAATCTCTCCAAAACAGTTTTACAATTTTTCACTTCTTCGTTTATCTCATCTTTCTCCTCCTCAGTAGCAGAGGTCTTAGGCTAATACTGGAAAACCTTAACATGCTGAAATGTTTGGATTGCACAAACTGAACCTTATTGCAAAGTGATAGAGCTTCAGCGCTTTCTCACATGGAGCAAACAGCTTCAGTGCAGGCTCCCATGTAGAAGGCATGAGGGAAGTGTGCTGCCTGGTTGTTGTGAAATTAAAGGGTGTTAATGCCCAGGAAATACTTCCTAAAGTATTGAAAGATTACTCTTCCAGAAACGCTTCCATAGTCACTGTTTTTTACTAGGAGAACTGGGATAAACTGAGGTATACAAATGGATATATTATATTTATGCAGAAGTGAAACACTCTGATAGAAATAGAGATTTCAACATAGCCTACAGCCTCTGGAAATTTCCAGAAACTTAAGGAGAACTTGAATTACAAAATCTTGTTTCATGTAGGTCTGTAAATTAAATCAGTGTAAGCTGAATGCACCACACTTAATTTAGCCATCTTTTCACCTCAGCACTGTGCTACTAGTTTCCACAGTAGCTCCTGTTAAGGGAACAAATAAAAGCCTTCTCTTTTAAAATAATAAAATGTTAACACTTTCCTAATAAATATATATAGACAAGAACACAGAATTACCACAGATCCTGCAGATGGTAGAAAAAAATGTTTTCACTTGTTAATAATGATAATGAGTAACTGATTTCTGATCGTCTTGCCTTTTCCAAGTTAATTATGAACCCTTCCACAAAATTCTATTTTAGCATTCTTTCTATTTGTTTTACTATCAGGAAAAAAAATGACCTGAAAAATGTGAAGTGTTAGCAAGGATAACACAGGAATCCCATTGATGCCTTTTGAAGAAGGTGAGGTCAAGCAGCTGTTGCTAGATTCAACCTACGCTTGCTCCTTGCTCCATCAGCTCCATCTGATAACTGGGTACCTGTCTCAGACAAAATGATTTAAACTGCTGTTCTCATTTTGACAAACAAAATCGTCACAACTAGAAACACAGTTTCTGCCTATGAACAATAAGCTAGCTGAATGAGAAACAACTCCGTTTAAAGATACATCACTGTATCACCTGTTTTCAAACTGTATATACCATATTTGATTGAAAGGTAAAAGTCGATGATCCACTTTTAGAAAGCACATGATGATAAAAAAATATAGCTATAAATAATGACATGGGAAATTGTTTTTTCCTATGCTGACAGACAGCCTGCTGCTTATTTTGGTTGACTTTAAGGTGTCAGAGATTTAACAGTTGTCTACTGAAAATATATAAATTCTGAAAATTAACACATTTACAAAAAAAAAAATTAAAAGGCACAAACTATCTAATACTATGCATATATACTGTATGTAGATAGATGAAGACCCTCTGTATTTCCTTCACGCTTTTATTCACTGAATCAAAAAGCTTATATTCCATTGCTGCAAAAATTATAAGATGTTTTATAGATAATGTTCCTTTCAAAGAAGCACTGGTTGTCCAATTGTATCTGGCCCATGGTCAGGTTGGACATGAAAAAATTTTCATTTACTTTGGAGATTCCAATATTTATTAGTGTTGTCTTTGATTTTATCTGTGGCCAGTTTGTGTTTTGGCTTGGTTGGTCCTCTGTTGTCACCCTATGTTATGCAACATTATTATGTAGTTGTTTTTTTCATTTTTGTTCTTTTTTTAACAGATGCCACATATTTATAATGAGGTATTTATAACCTTATTGATAGTCTGTCAAGTGTTCCTGAAAGCAATTATATGTTGTCTTCCTTATATCGAACTGGTTTGAGGTAACCGCTGCAGTTTAAACCTCCTTTTGATTGCACACTGCTTATTAATATGTGCATAAATTGTTGGCAGGTCGGTCAAGACACTCCAGAAGGTCCCTTTGAGCTTTGCATGTGTCTTTGCTAATCAGCGCAATTGCAAGTTAGTGAGCCTGCAGTGATGTGTAATGCAGGTTTAAGAGAGTATTCTACCTAAATGGACCTTCTGGCTTACTTCAGTGGCAGTTTTATTATGATTTCACATTTTTAGGTAATTCTGACCAATTCTTGAGAAGTTTTACCTTCC